AAAAAAAAAAAAAAGAAGCAGCCAGGAATGAACCGAAAACTTGGAGATTTGGTCTCATCAAAATCTGGCATATAAATATGGTGCCAATACTCATTCCTGGGCTCTATTCCTGAGAAAAATCACAGCTTGCTAAAAATAAAGTCCCCACTGCCCTGTAGTCAAACCATTTCCCTCACCTGCCAAGTGATGTTAAATGCACTCCTCTCTCATCAAACTTTGAAAGTCTTTTCACGTGCCTTGCTATTCCTGTATTCTGATATTGTCATAGTGACAGAAGTCTGATTTGTACTGGTGCTATGTTTGTGACATGGTCAGTCCTTGTTTTTCAACACACTGTTTTCCCGAAGACTGCACCTTAAGGTAGATTGCTATAAAATGAAATCCGACTGACTCTATACTGTTGTCATTACTGATTCAGATTTCATGAGAAATTGTGAAATGAACAGAGAAAGGTGCTAAAAACTGATGAATAGCATGTTCGGGCTCAGCCAAGTGATCAAAAGAGGGAGAATTTTGCTGCAAAGCAGCAAAATATGAAAGTTACTAATTCCTGATTGAATGTCTACAGTAGATAAAAGTGGGGCAGTCGATGATTAGATGCTTTGTAATGTGGGCAGTCCAGTCTCGGACAAGTAAACAAGTCTTTTCCTTGAACATTGGTCTCACTGTACTTTGCCTTTTGTTGTTGTTTGTTTTTATCAGGGAATGCCCATCTTTTAGTACTGAAATGCCTAACATAAGTTCTCAATAAATATTTTTTGAATAGAAATAGTAAAACTCTTCACAACCTTTAACCTTTTCTTAAAAAAACACCATCAAAATTTTCACTCATGCTTGGAAAATTATGTTTCCACAGTTTTGTTTTTAATGAATACAATGCAAATTCCTAAGTAATTATGTGAGAAATTCACGAGTCTGATATAATTTGAAATTTCAGTGTACATCTACAATCTGCTTTCTAAAATTATAATTGTCTACATTCGCTGTCATGGTGGAAAGAAAGCAAGATATGAAATATTTTTCTTAAATTGGTTTGGCTATGAAAAGTGGTATCACCCAAAATAGAGAGTCAGACAAATAAAGCTTAAATAGAATAGTAACACTAGTTAACTTTTATGGCTTATTTATTGTATACCATGCACTGTGCTTTACAAATATTAGCTTATTTAAACCTCTTAAAAATGGTTTGAAGTAGTTATTGTGATTCTTTCTCGTTCGTAGGGGAGGAAACTGAAGCTTAGAGACATTAAGCAATGAGCGCAAGGTCAGACAACTGACCTTCAAACTCAGGCATCCTGGCTTCAAACTCAGTGCTCTTAACTATCAGGCATGTTGCAGAAATCAAAGCAAATAGAAACACAATCAGTTACCTGAGGTGATAATTGAAGAGATAGGGCATATTATTTCAAGATTCAGGCCATTTTGTCCTAGAAATTATACTATTGTTGAACAATGGTAATTAAATATATTTAAGCTACTTTTGATTTCAGGAGAGAAAATGTGTAACGTACATAGAGTTTTACATCATTTAAGAAGTTATTGGATTCAGAGTTGTAATTTCAGGGAAAAAAAGGCCACAAGAGATCATGTGCTCACAATCAGCACTTTGCTGAGCATAAATGTGGCAAAATTGTGGCTCTTTTATTTCCCAGTCTCTCCTCTCTTTTTTACTGCTGAACTCCTCTTTCAGGTGAACATGTCTTACCTGGACTATCACAGCTGCCCCCAAATGGTCTTCCTACAACCCCAGTTTGTTCTCCACACCACTGCCAGGAGTACCTTCACTAACCCATGAACAAAAAATGCTGTATCGCCCTCCTCATCAAGAACAATTATTGCTGTGAACGAGTCATACACTCTGCTGCCTATCCAATGAAAGCTAAGCTCCCTGTCCCAGTAAGAACCTTATACACATGACTCATTATTCTCTAACATTGCTCTTTTTTTACATTTTAATTCCAGTTACTTCACATACAGCGTGATATTAGTTTCAGGTGTACAATATGGTGCTTCAACACTCCATATGACACCCAGCGCTCATCACCACAAGTGCCCTCCTTAATCCCCATCACCTATTTCACCCATCCCTCCACCCACCTCCCCTCTGGTAACCATCAGTCTGTTCTCTATAGTTAAGATCTCTAGTATTGCTCTTCAGGGATTCCACTATCTGTCACCAGCTTGCTGCCTGGCATTCCACCGTTTACCTCATCATCCGCACTCTGGTTCCATTACACTTCATATTGTTTCTCTTGCTTAGTTCTCTCTTCTAAGCACACTCTTAATTATCTGGGAAGATTATGCTGGAATATAGAAGGCCGTATGATGTGTCTGTCATAGAAAGTCCATGATTCAAACCTCGTTATATAAGCTTGGGAACAGTGCTTAGCTGATTAGAATCTCAGTTTCATCACTGGTAGAATGAGGGTGATAACGTTATTTGTTTTACAGGGTTTTTATAAAGATAAGTGAGATAGTGAGTGTAAAGGCCTTGGCATCCAATAAATACATGTTCCTATCTTCAATTGCAGATTGGCCCTCCTTACCTTTCATTTCCCATCCCCCATCCCAGTGAGAAGATTTTGGATATTACTCTCTGTGCCCCTGCCGCAACTAGGGGTGAGGCCTCCAAACTTGTAGTACTGTTTGGCACTTACTTACCTGTTTCTTGTCTGTTTCCTTACCTAGACCGATAGTTCTCAACCCAGGCTGCAGACTTAAGTAACCTGGGCAGCTCATTAAAAAATGCTCCTTCTTAGTTCAGTTAAATGAGAGTCTCTGACCTGGTATACAGTCATGGTTTATAAAGTTCCCCAGGTGATTTTAATATTCAAGCCTGGAGTATAGATTCCTTCAGAGCAGGGATTCATTAGTGAATCTCTGCTGCCATCACGGAGCTGGGCATGGAGTGGACGTTCAGTGCGTGCCCCAAAACCAAATGAATGCATGCACGCATGATGGCTGACTCTCCGGGCCTTCTGAATATGCATTCAGTAAACCTGAACCCATTTGATTACAAAAATGCGATGCCCAAATTAGAGTATTATTGATAAATTTACATTTATACGATGGTAATCCGTACCTATGCAGATAAAGTCATGATTTAAGTTTTCTCAGAGTCTAGATGTTGCCTCAGGCAATTTCCTATCTACTTATTTGTGGGTTCAGTGTTTTTGTCTGTTTGCTTTTCATTCTTTTGGGTCCCGAGGTCAAATGGATGAGGTGATTTTAACTTCCCAAAGGGTGCCTAAATACCTAGAGCTGAAATTAGCAGTTTATTTGCCACCATAAAATTTCTCACTGTCGGGCTACTATATATAATCCTATCCCTTCTAGCGTTTGTTTTGTTGCCTTCCTCTTGGAGTATATATGCAGATTTATATTTACCCTTCCTGTGTTCTTTGTTTTTAGTGGCCCATCAATAATTGTGTTTAGCTGTAAAAATACATACAGCACCTTGAGAGAGGAGGAAGAAAGGGACTAATGGCATTGAAAGTGATAGCTCAAGGGCGCCTGGGTGGCTCAGTCTTTAAGCGTCTGCCTTCGGCTCAGGTCATGATCCCAGGGTCCTGGGATCGAGTCCCACATCGGGCTCCCTGCTCGGCGG